ATGAGAGGTGTGAACCAGTCCATTAGTCTACTCTAATCCATATTTCTCAACCTTGACAACTTTTAAGATGTGTGGTCTCCAATTCCCAGAATTCAAGGTTGAGATGGTTGTCAAGGTTGAGCAACCCTGACCTAATCCAGGTTGCTAAACAAATTGTGTGTAGAGATGGTTTACTGAAAAATAGCACAACTGAAGAGTAACCTACTATACTACGCCATAAACCAGACATTACAATTCCGAACAGTTAAGCTCATACGGCATACTAAGTCAAAATGCATTACAGCTTTGTGTAGTGTGTAAACCTTCTGGCTGCTTGGGCTGAAGCCTTCTGATATCCTTTCCACAGCTTCCTGTACAGTTCCATTTATCAGAGGAAGCAGTGTCCCTGCAGGCTGGGGTTGCCCCTTTTTTCCCTGAGATAGCAGGCTGATCTTCAATTATTTTTTCAAAGCCTCCAGTAGGTGCTTTGGCTCCAGAGTCTTGGTTTGAACACATGAAAGCTGCCCCGTCTGGTAGATACGTACCAGTGGGTTTCCACCCTTATCAAGCTTGGTTGCTTCTCTTGGGCATCAGCTCCATTCCTGTTTTTTCACCACTCATAAAAAGGAATACAGCTGTTCTTTGAAGTTGTGTAAGTTGCTCCTTGCCATCATTTGTTACATACGCATAAGGAGCATATGTAAAAACAATTGCTGAAACATGACTATAATCTATCAGATAAAAAGCAACTTTCCTGATTTATCTGGGTCAATGATGTTCACTTGGTGACCGTTCAAAGTTGCAACGGCACTGAAAAAAGAGACATGACAATTTTTCCCCCTTACAGCCATTGCAGCATCTCAATGGTCACATGTTCAGAATTCAGACGCTTGGCAACTGGTCCATATTCGTGAGGGTTGCAGTGTCCTGGGGTCATGTGATCAGCTTTTGCAACCTTCTGACAAGCAAAGTCAATGGGGAATCCATATTCACTCACCAACCATGTTACTAACTTAACAAATGCAATGATTCACTTAACAACTGTGGTAAGAAAGGTCATAAAATGGGGCATAACATAACAAATGTTAGCAACATAAATTTTGGGCTCAATTGTGTTCGTAGCTCAAGGATTACTTGTAGTAGTCTTTCCCAGCAATGACCACCCATTTATTTACATCAAGAAGTAAAGTGTCTTTGAGCAAGGAAGCTCTATTTAGCTTTTGTGGCATATTATTTATAAATTAGGTTTATCCCTCATGGAAGTGCAGAAAACCCCCACAAACCTCATTGCTAATTGATGTTCAGTGACTGAGTTCAGACATAGTTAAGAAGACATGCTTAACTAGTCTAACTTAATTATGGAATAAACCACACTTTATTCACACATCACATGCCAAATTCAACAAGGTAGATTATGACATAGGCATAATAGATGAACTTAGCCACTTAAATACACCAAACATGGCTAGATACCTAGACAAACCTAGATTATGGTTTGTTGTTGTATTATGCATGCAAGTTATTAGAAGTCAAGGTTTGTTCTTGGGCTAGGAATTACAGCTAGTTTTAGCCATGGCTTATCATGACCTTTGCAGTCACAATCTAATAGTTCATTGGCTTGTTTTTACTTCTAAAGCTATCTTCAGAAAGCAGAAATGTGACAGCTACAAGAGAAAACGTCTTTGTAGGCTGATGAATCATTCCTGCTTTTACTAAATTAGCCTTTCCAATATACCAGCCCTCTTTATTTCTCCCTGAACAGCCTTTCTCCAGCAGAATGCACAGCTTTTCAACTGTTGCTAAAGCAGAAGGAAATTTAAAAGAACAGCAGTCAGTAGAAGTGCTGTTACTTAGCACACTGCTGGAAACCCCAATTACAGCCCAAAGGTGCAGCATGAAGAAATGAACTTTGTTTATCCTTCTGCTTCAGTGCATATTCTAGAGAAGTTTCAAAGAAACTCCAAATCCTGATCCAATAATCTTGGCCAGGGCTCCCTACAAAGGGTTGTGGTCTCAGGCTCCCCAAGTAAGGCTCAGTGTTTGGTTTGTCTATAAAACATGATACCTGAAATTTGTTGAGAGATTGTTCAGCTCCCATCCTGCCCCGTCACATAACTGGCCTTAGGTGTTCATAGCAAACTGTGATGATGCTAAAATGATGAGTGAAAATATATAGTACCTGAATTATTCTGAAACAAAATATGGAGGGATACCTAGAGCTTGACGTAACCTATCAGCAGCCTTGAGTAAAATGTCACCTGTATAAACACATTCAGAGCATGGCTAAAGAACAGCTTTAAAATAAAGCCATATCAGAATGATAGATTCATTTGCAAGCATGACTAATGAACAAAATAATCCCAGAATGAACAGGAAGATATTTCATTCCAGGTCAACCTTACTGTGGGCTTAGAACAGCTGGGTAGACATGAGACCCAATGATCAATAGCTAAATTTCCCATTCTAATAGATGAAGATAATGTTTTTGACTAGAAAGAATACTTCCTTTCTAAAAAGGGGGATTAAATTGTAATAATACTGCAATTGGAGTAATTGAAAATGGCTGGCCAGAGATAAACACATTGTTCCACCTTAGTATAATACAAGGCGACAAAAAGAGGAGAGTTACAGTAATTTAGCTCATTTTAGATCATCATCTTTCCATACTCAACTATCTCTACACTCCATAGCAGCGGTCTTCAAACTTGGCCCTTTTATGACTTGTGGACTTCAATTGCCTGGCTGAGGAATTCTGGGAGTTGAAGTCCACAAGTCATAAAAGGGCCAAGTTTGAAGACCCCTGATCTATCACAAGCTGCATAATGCAGGTGTGAATGATATATGTATGCAAGATGGGGAAACCACAGCCTTTAAGGATTCCAACAAAGATTGGCTATGGTAGGTTAACACATGATTAACCAAGGTAATTATAGCCACTTAGAGTGTGGGATGTGTTTCCACCAATTTCAGGGAGAGAATTTTAAAATTTGTAATTATAAGCCAGTGTCAAATATTCTTTTCTTGGAACAATTGATCAAGACATTGGTGGTCTATTAGATTCAGATGCATTTGTATGAAAATAATTATCTGGAGCAATTTGGGTTGGCGCTCCATTATGAGATACATAATGAAACTGCTTTGGTGATGATATCTATACTTACAATTCTATACCATCCAACTCAGTGAAATAATCTACAACCTGATTGCCCAATCTCCATTATGAGTTTGGAGAGAGACTGGATGAGAGAAAATAAAATGAAATTAAACCCAGACAATGTGAAGATGCTGTTGATTAAAAATAAAGCAGTGAGCCAGACTGCTAACTATAAGATCACTTAATGCTTGTATTGAAAGCACTGTGCTGGTTGCCAGTTGCCTACTGGGCACAATTGCTGCAATTGATCTTTAAACTCGTAAATTGTTTAAGACCTAATCACCTTCTCCTACTATGACTGTTGGATTAGAAGAGGCCCTTTGAAAGATGCCCCTAATGCCAGAAACCCAACTATTATGTACAAAGCCGCCTTCTAAATGATTGACTATAATGTACAGTCTCCAAGAAAGTATATTTGGTCCTCAGTCTGTCAAATGTTTATGAAAATGTCAAAAATAAACCTTTTTTGCTATAGATTATTTTTAATGTTACTCGTTTTAAATTTGATGGTACTGATTTTCCTCATGGTTTGTAATTTGTATTTTGCTTTGAGTGCTTATATATGTAGAAAGACGGTGTATAAATTTAATAAACTCACACACTCCATAGTTGGGAAGCTTTATAAATAAAGTGTGGGATGCAAATGTAATGTTACTAATAATGTCTCAGGTTCTGGCTACTGCTTGCACCTATTAATTATACCAGCCACCTGGTGTTGCAGAGATATTTTGAGATTCATGAATACGGATAGTTAATTCTAATTCAAACTCAGTTGATCTCTCAAGGGGAAAATATTCCCTTCTCTGCTTTGCTGCCATCTACAGGGGGGCAGGATATATGCAGAAATGCACCTAGAAATTCCTTCTTTGATAGATGCCCTCACCATCACCTTTCAAAAGAAATGCCCAGTGCCCATTGGACTCTTTCAAAGGAAAGAAAAAGTTCCCCTTAATTTGCAGCCTCTTGAGCACTGCCAGAAATGCCAAGGATGACCCAGGCCAGTGATGGCGAACCTATGGCACGCGTGCCAGAGGTGGCACTCAGAGTCCTCTCTGTGGGCACACCTGCTGCCGCCGCCAGCTTGCACAAGTCCATTAGGCCACCGCTGGCGCCTGGAGCGGCAGCCCCACCCAGCACAAAGGAGGCAAAGCAGCTGGCTAGCAAGCTCGAGTTGATAGAGCAGGCCCCCATGCACTCGCTGGCCTCTGTGTGCGGGGGCTGATGGTGTGAGGCAGCAGCCGCCCCTGCCTCACCTTGCCCCGCAGCAATGGCACCCCCGCCCTACCCCGCCTCGCCCCGCAGGATGAGCCTCCTGTCCACTCCCCCACCCACCCGAGACCCTCTGGATCTCCCCCAATCCTGCCCAGTCCCCCCCAAGCAACAGCAAGTTGGCCACGCCCACCCTGGCCACGCCCACTCAGTGTGCCGAGACCACCGCAGCTATGCCCACCCAGTGGGCCACGGCCCCCACCTCCCCTGAGGGCACCACAATGCTGATGCGGCCCTGGCACTTTGCGATAAATAATTGGGTTTTGTGTTGCAGTTTGGGCATTCGGTCTCTAAAAGGTTCGCCACCACTGTCCCAGGCTTTGTGTCTACAGCAGCCATAAGTGGCTGATGCTTGGTGAGCCTCTAGTAAGGCATTAGCAATACAAGGAAGAAGCAAACACAAACAGTCTCCCCCCACCCCCAAAAAAATCTCACTTTGGTCACACTGAGACTACTCAAAACCGATGAGTTAATAATATGTACAACACAGTGATTGAAGCCTTTCTGCCATCCTCTTTAAGAATTTGTTTTTATAAATACAAATGACAAAACAATGCAGTTAGAAAAAAATCATTACACCAAACATTTAAGAATATTAAGCTGGTTTAATAATGTTTATGTAGAAAAACAAAGTAATCAAGTATGAATTGCATTGATTTATTGTACAAATCCCTTTGGACTGTATACAAAATAAGTATGGCTAGTCAAACAGCAACAGTAAAATAAATATTTAATTTTTTATTTTCAAAAGAAGCTGGCTTAAGGAAACTCCCTATTGTCTCAGCCTCAAGTGGTTGCTCAGTGGGACAATTCAGATTAAAACCGGTGCTATACATGCATAACTCTTCCTTCTGTACAGTGAAATACAGCAGACTAATCACAAATGATAGGAGAGCATCCCAATAGGAAGGGACATCAAGATCAAATGGAACCCCAAATAATTATTTGATCCACGACCCCAAGAAAATGTAAACAAGGCTCACTGAAATCAAATTGAGCCAGAAAGGAAACAGAAATGACTTCCAAAGTTCAACCTGGCAATATGGAGGCCATTGGAAATTATTCACCAAACCTCCATGTTGACATGAGCCACTGACAAGATAAAACCAGATTTTTCACAGATTCTTGGACATTTTAGAAGTACCTTATTCGTTTTCACAAAAACTGGAGTAGAATCTCAGGGTCAGCAACTTTTTCAAGTATTGGACACCTACTTTTTTTTCATTATCTGAAATACTGTAAAATGAGGTACTCTGTTATCAACATCAGCAGTAGAGAATCCAAGAGCTGAGCTTGCAATATCTCTAAGAATGAGCGCTCCACAATATAAAGCTGGCATTTTCTGTCACTGCCTGAACTAACTGGATTCAGCCCTTGAGTAATGAGCATCCTTGTAAGATGGCTGCCACTGTAAGAACTCAGCCAAGAAACTAGTGACCCTTTCTATAAGACACAGAACTTTGGAGGGGAATCATTTGTCAACTACTCAGCCCAAATGAATCACGAAATGGACAGTAAGGCTGTGCATGCTTTGAACATGATTGGGGAAAAGGTGCTTTGGAATGCATAACATCTCTTCAAAGGGACAGTGAGGGGTTTTTTCAGGCTTTCAAGGATCAGAATTCTCCCAACGTTATTTGTTTATTCTGGATTGGATGCTCCCCATCAGTACCAGCCTTCCCAAGAAGGAACATAGAAAGTACAGTAATACATGAATTGTCAAATTTCATTCCTGAGAACTGGTCTTTGTCAGGTTCAATCTTTTGGCCAAACAGTATTCATTGAAGGGCCCGGTTTATCCGTGTTCTTCAAAAGGCCCCTTACTCAGCCACCTGTAAAAACTCTGAAGTGAAGACAGCTTCTGCGTAGTCCCCACAGAAGCCATGGAGCTCAGCTGCTACATCTGTCAACACTTCCTCTGTCAGCTCCTCTGCCAGGCTGAAAGGAAAGAAACGGAAGGAGCTCAACGGCCAAGACTTGAGTTCCAGAGCTTCTACAACATCCTACAACAGTGGTGGCGAACCTATGGCACGGGTGCCAGAGGCGGCACACAGAGCCCTCTCTGTGGGCACGCGTGCCGTCGCCCCAGTCCTAGGCCTTCAGCTGAGTTTTATAAAACCTTCTCGGTTTAGGCCTCCGCCGCTGTGTGCAAAAAAAAAAAAAAAAGAAGTTCAATCAGTCAATTTCAACTTCTCGCGGGGAAAAAAAAGATCTTGCAAAGTTGGAATTGATTGATTGAACTTTTTAGTCCCACCCAGTCTGCTGTTACCACCGCAGCCACGCCCAGCCAATGGGCCACACCCAGCCAATGGGCCATGCCCACCCAATGGGCCACACCCACCCGGCACTCGACGATGCACAAGTGGGTTTTGGGTTGTAGTTTGGGCACTCGGTCTCTAAAAGGTTCGCCATCACTGTCCTACAATGTGATCCAGAAGCAGCAGCATGTGGAGATCTCTCTCTCTCTCTCTCTCTCTCTCTCTCTCTCTCTCTCTCTCTCTCTCTCTCTCTCTCCCTCTCTCCCTCTCCCTCCCTCCCTATCTCTTCAGTCACTTCCCTCAGTCCTGGTGTCAACCCTTCAAAATATATCAAACCAGGAAAGCAAAGTCACATAGTATTATAAAGATACCGTAACAGCATCTTTCAAGCATGAATGTGCTTCATCCCTCCCTCTCTTCATCTCTGTGAGAACTACAAAGAGTGTTGCATAAGATGTTTCCTCATGTTGCACAGCTTTTTGTTTAGATTTTTAAATTCCACCTTTATTATTTTTATAAATAACTCATGGAGGCGAATGTAACTCATACTCCTTCCTCCTCCTATTTTTCCCACAATAACAACCCTGTAAAGTGAGTTGGGCTGAGAGAGAATGACTGGCCCAAAGTCACCCAATCAACTTTCATGGCTAAGGAAGGGCTAGAACTCAGTCTCCTGGTTTCAAGATTGGTGCCTTAACCATTAGACCAGGGGTAGGCAACCTTGGCTCTTTTATGACTCGTGGACTTCAACTCCCAGAATTCCTGAGCCAGCCATGCTGGCTCAGGAATTCTGGGAAGTTGAAGTCCACGAGTCATAAAAGAGCCAAGGTTGCCTACCCCTGCACTAGACCAATCTGGCTCAGTTCCACTCTGGAATCATTTTTTTTGTCTTGACCATAGTCTTGATAACAGTTCTTCCTCCTGTCCCTCAAGGCCATTCCCTACAACTAGGAAGAAGGAACTGGAGGGCCACTGAAAAATGCTGCTAAGAAAACTGCAGGAGGCAGTCACCATGAGTCAAAACTGACGTGAAGGTGCAAATTTTGTCCTGTGTCACAGATACATTGCCATCTATCAAACTGTTAATCAAGGCATTGGCGGCAGCAACCCTACTTGACACCCATTGTTAGCCTTATCTCCTTCTTGCCTGCACCTGGTGGAACTGTTCCCTCACCCCTTCCACAGCCTTAACCCTACTATAAAGGGATTCTGCACATGTGTGAATCAGGTATGTGTCCCACTGTGAGGGTGGGCTTGTAGAAAACAAGACAAAAACATTAGCCGTGGCACCTGGGGATGGAGATAAAAACTTTTGAGAGCAGCTACTCTTGACAATGCCTCTGAAACAGAAGTGTGAAGGAAGGTAACAAGATATCCAAGAAGAAGGCAATTAGTGTGACAAATCAAAAATCAAATAATATTCTAATTATTTTTTGCCCCACTGGAAAATTGTGAAAGGAGCCAGAGAAAAACAAAGGTGGAAAAACAGAAGATGGACTGCCACCTAGTGGCTCTAAGAGGATGCACAACACAATCGTCTTCAACCTCTATCACAGTGTTTCTCAACCTTAGCAACTTTTAAGATGTGTGGACTCCCAACTCCCAGAATTCCTCAGCCAAAGGAAGTCTGGGAGCTGAAGTCCACACATTTTAAAGTTTGAAAAACATTGCTCTGTTTTCTGACAGTGGAGTATGGGTTTTTGAAATAAAAACAACAAATCCCTCCAGGAGATACAAAGAAAGCCAGCGCACCAAGATTCACCATACCTCTCTGCAATGTTCCAAGGGTTAAACTGCCCCACCTCCTCAAGGAAAATCCCCTTCAGGTGCTGCTGGTATCGGGCATCATAATCACTGAGGCTTTGGAGAACACGTTTCGGTACTGAGAGGAAAGTGCCAGATTCTTTCTGTGGGGGGATGCGATGTGTAAAAGACTGCGGAGTCCCACTCCTGGGCTCTGACAGCTCTTCATCAATAGCACTGAAAGCACAAATACAACCAGAGTTAGGAAAAATTCAATCAGACCAAAAGCCTCTACTTCACTGAGATGGTCCTGTTATGACCAACACCTATGAGAAGCAAACAGGCTGGGCATGATGGCAATGGCCTTCTCCTCCATTTCTTTCCTTGGGCCTGCTATGCAGAGGATTTAGGATCTTCCAAATCAGATTCATAGTTCAAAACCAATAGGATCTCATCAAAGTCAAGCTGTTAACTCTTTCTATAGTCCCCTGCCCCCTTAGCAAACTTGGTGTACTCTTCTCATGCCCATTTAAGCTTAAAACAGACCATCTTTTGTCACCCAAGTTTATTTAAATGCTCGCTTCCCTTAACTGGAGGTGCTTGTTCCTTTCTAACCAATCTCTTGTGTAACTTCAACCACTGATTCTAGACCTCATCTATCTATCTATCTATCTATCTATCTATCTATCTATCTATCTATCTATCTATCTATCTATCTATCTATCTATCTATCTATCTATCTATCTATCTATCTATCTATCTATCATCTATATCTATCTAGCTATCTAGCTATCTATCATCTATCTATCTATCTATCTATCTATCTATCTATCTATCTATCTATCTATCTATCTATCTATATATCTATCTATCTATCTATCTATCTATCTATCTATCTATCTATCTATCTCCTAAACAATCAAATAAAATAATAAAGCCCAACAAGTTTTGGTGAGAAGGTGAAAAGTCAAAGAAAACAAAGTTACTTCTCTTTCACTTCAGCCCACCTTCTGACTTTCATTCATTTGTTCATGTCGAAAGATTTAATTTTGCTCTGCTTATAAATTCTTTGAAGAATCATGTGAAGGAAAATGGTGGGCTAGATGGAACTGTCTCAGTCTATTTAGCACTAGTGTTCCTACCTACCAAATTCTCACTGAGTCCTCAAGCCCTCCCCGCTTTTATTTCCCTGAAGTACTCATATTATTGCTATCCTGTGATACCTTGATAATTTGATTATTCCCAAACATGCTATCCATTCTAGCCAAGGGGGCAAATCCACTTTTAATATAAACAAAGATGATGCTGAGCACAGTTACCTGATAAATCTCTTACTCACCTGGCATCCAAGGGTTTTTCCAACACAATGGCTACTTGTGGCTCTTTGTAATTATCTAGTTTAGTTATCTGGATGGGATGAACAACCCCAGGTGGTTGGTATTTCACTACAGACTCTTCCTCTAGGAGAAGGAATTGTCAGAAGAAGAATTACCTCACCAACACTAGAATAGGCAAGCTCCCACTGTATTTCAGATTTCATCTTCCCCATTCTTTTAACATATTTTTATAGAAACATAAGCCAAGAGAAAACTATGGAGTATTTATTCGCTGATCATGAGGATTTTTATCCATAAGACTTCATCATAGCATCAACGAGATGTCTGTTTCCTTCATCTCTACAACATACACATATTAAGAATGCAAAAATATACATTCCCAACCAGAAAAATGAGGGAGAACCATTCACTGCTCAGCTGTTATTTCTTAAAAATCCAAAACCAAACTGGAAACTCACCTTTGCTCTCCTGGACCCAGAAATCAACATCAGCGTAAGCAATCTGGTTGTATCGTCTGCGTACAGCTTCTTGGTAGTGCTTCAATATACAAAGATAAACCCAATATTACTCAACAAATAGTTTGACTGTGTTGGTGAAAGACTGGGAGACTGACAGATTAAAACACTCCTAGTAAAGCAGACTGCTCTATTTTTGTGCAGTGAGAAACTTTAATTAACGGAGAATTCAGAATGGGAGAAGATATCTTTTCTCTCTCTGAAAAAAACTACTTTTATACAATACTTTTCGTACAGGATACAATAAATAAAATATAAGTATTAATGTCCTGCCACAAACCTGCAGGGCTCTGGGCAGCCCACAGAAAGACAAAAAAAAAAATACAAAAGAAATATAAAATCATATAACCCAAGAGTCCGATCTGAGTATCAAATTTTGTTAATGGATGAGAGCAAGAGAAATGGGAATATTGCCCAGAATGGAATGTCTACATTTCTAACATTTTGGGTATCTCAGAAATCTCAAGGAATCTTCAGAAAAGGAGAGCAGAGCTCAGTTTGTAAGACACAAATTTTGCACAGTTGGCACTCTATGCTGGTTGAGGAATTTTGGAAATGCTAATCCCAACACATCTGAGTGGCGTCAGATTAGAGGAAGATGGACAAAAGCATAGAGTTCAGCCTGTAGAGTTCAGGCTGTTTTTTTTCCCTTGAAGGAGGACAAAATGCAGCTCCTATAGCAGCAAAATATGGCAGATTCTCATGATATTCCTTGAGCTCAATACTTGAAGTGCTTGACCGCTGAGAGACATCAAAGCTCAATCACCTGATGCACAGGCATAGGTCAGCAAGCAACAAATAAATGTACCTCTATTTCCTCCATCCTCTTCATCATTGTATCCAGATCAGACATGCTGAGCGCAGAAAGAGCCACACGTTCCATCTTCTTGCACTGTTCCAGATAGCAATCCTCCAAGGAAATACCTGGTAAGCTTGTTGCATCCTAAAGAGGGGGGGGGAGGGAGAGAGAGAGAGAGAGAATGTAATGTAATGTAATGTAATGTAATATAAAACAACTGCATATGAAAAGAAAAACACAACTGGAAGAACTGATAGAAAATAAAATTGATAACAACTCAAATCAAGGGAAGGCTCTGAAAAAATGTAAAGGCTTGTGGAAAACCAGCAGCCTGGTCTCCCCAGAGTGACTATTTCCACAATATAAATGCTGCAACAAAAAAACATAATTATACAATTTATACTCTTATTTTAATAAATTTAGTCTTATGTGAAAATTATGATTGAACATCGAAATATATTGTTCTGGGTGACTGTCCTGTATTTTTGTTTCTTCTTGCCTTACAGAATATTAAAAGTGAAAAAAACTAAAAATGACTATGTGGAAGTATTTTGTCTCTAAGGTGAAATTTATTTGGCTTTAGACTCCTTTAAAACTTTTTTTTTTGTCAAGATGCTCTCTTGGAGCAAGGTTGCAAAGCTAAATTACTTTAGGAGATAGGGATGATTAAACATACAGCCCGTTTTAAAAGAAAGCAGGAGGAAAAGTCTGGCACTTTTTCTAATTACTTTGTAAAGTCTGACACTTTTTGCATAAATTATCACACGCTGGATGCCCAATGTGAAACTGTTTAATAATCAAGTAAGCTCAAAACTGAGGGGAGGTGAGGTGATTGTGTAGTGGATTTCGACAACATAGCATCCAAAGCAATTGAGAAAAAGAATTAAACCTGAAAACCACATTTATTTAAAAAAGTGGAGCTTTCGTTTCAGCCATAACCACATTCAACATCTACTTTGGACAGCTGACTTTCTGTACTGTTTTTTAGCCATTTTTCTCCATTTTTCTGCCTGATCATTTAACATAGGCCTTGGCAACCTTATTCACACAGCATCTTTAGCTAAACTTTAGCTGAACTGTGTGTGCTCCCATGTGAAAAGCAGGATATAAGTCTAATTAATGTAACAATTAATTCTAATAAGCATGACTCAGTTGTTGCCTTATAAGCCTTACTTCTTACATTTAGCCAAGGCAACAATTTTATTTGAGGTCCTGGCTGATACAAGAGGTAAGACTTTGGAAGCAAGAGTTGAGTCAGGCTCATCATAGGTGAAATATCCAGCCTTGGGGTGCTCTTCAATAAAAGTTCTGGAAAGAAAGGAGGATGTTATTCCTTCAATTTATCAACAAGGAATTATGTCAAGAAAATCAAAAGGAAAAGAGGAAGAATGTGATACTCTACCTGTCCTTTTTCCAAGAGGAGCTCCAGACCCTCAGGATCAGCTTGCTCTACCTCCTCTGTTGGGGAAACACCATTGTTCCTGAAATTTTTAAAACAATACAGGACAGTGACAATCTGATGACTCATGTCATCTTTTAAAGATGAGACTAACAGAACACACATAAATAATAGTAGGACAGCATAATTCAGCATCTCTCCAGACTGGGCACTCTGAAGCATATACCTTTCGGAACATAGGCTTTTATAATAATATGGAAGGGCCTAAAGTCTTTCCCATTTGCATTCCTTGTTTAATGCATTCCTGAGAGATAAGACTGAAACAGCCAAATATATCCCAGGTTTTAATTCTTTCCTCACCAAATGCAAAAGAATACACAAAAAAGAGAAATAGACCCAGGGAACTGGAGCTTCTACTTTCTTCCTACAGCTCAAAAATCACAGAAATTGGAAGCCTTTTCCAAAAGTGAAAACCCAACCGATGCCTCGGTCGTCACTTATGCTCCTATTCAGGTTAGTACTAAAGACTATAATCTAGAACAAACATTGTCAAAAGATATGAAATAATGATGTCAGGTGATTATTTAGATCCAAAATCTTATTTTATTCCCCTGGGAGTAATGAAAGATGGTGAGATTTTTCTGTTGCAATATTCTTGCAAAATCTTGCTATACTCTTGGCATCTGACAAGGTCAAGAGCCAAGCAGGCATAAGGACTTAGTTAATTTTACATATAGTTTTCAAAGAAAGCAACAAATGCTAAATGTATACACACAGCTTTTCATGAAAACACAGCCGTTGGGACTGCCCTTTACAGGTACTTCTACTCTGCCTTCTTAGGTTCAACTAATAAATAACAAGTAAGGATGGAAGCAAAGCAGAGTTTTTCCTTTTCTCTCATAATTTTGGAAAATCATCTCAATTGCTTCTTTTTGGTCAGGATGTAAAATCTAGGGCAGTGGTTCTCAACCTATGGGTCGCGACCCCATTTGGGGTCGATTGACCATTTCACGGGGGTCGCCAAGCAAGGCTGTCCGCCATTTTTTCCCCTTTTCCGGTGGGTGCCTTACCTCCCTTGAGCTGGGCCAGCTGGTGGTCGGCCTGCTCCGTCTCTGCCGCTTGCCAGCTACGCCTCGGCCGGCGCAGGGGGCGGAACCACGCATGCGCGGCGCTCCCGGGCAGGGAAAGTCCTCGACTTACGACCGGTTGGGTAGTCCTCGACTTACGACCGGTTTAGTCCTCAACTTACGACCGGTTT